TTTTATTTTAAAAAAGTATTTCCCAGCAGCCCCCTGAAAGATGTCCTCACGTGTCTTACCAGCTAGAGCCCTGCCACATGGCCACCAGCAGCTGCCAAGCAGGCTAGTCAAGTCAGAATCTAGCAGAGGGGGCTGAGAGCGCCGTGCGTGACCCAGACAGCTCAGACGCAGCCCTGCCCCAGCATACAGCTGCTCCCACAAAGTCTGGGTTCTGCTGTTAGCAACAAAGCTGGAGGGGTCATGGGTGAGCACAGGGTGCTGAGGAATAAATTGGCTGCTGACGGCCGCAATAGCCTTGACTGATAAAAGACCCGCCCCTGAGTGGCCAGTCATCCTTGGGATAGCTGCAGGGCCAGAGATGACAATTCAGAAATGACCAGCTTTGCCTCCATCCCTGACTTCTGCACTGTCTGAGGGGTCGGTCAGGTGACCCGGAGCTAGAAAAACTGACGTCAAGACCAGCCAGTCACCTCCTAGCTTGGTGGCCTCCGGAGACTCCTCATGTCCGTCCGTGTCCCTCACTTTCCACCTGAGTGAGATGGGAAGGAGCTTCACAGTGCTTGCCCGCCCATCCAGTGCCTGCCTCAGCTAACAATTAATTAAGGCTCTTCATTGCAAGTGACAGAAATTACCTCATACTGGCTTAAGAAAAAAAAATTATTTAATTTATTGAACCGTCTGGGGAGAGATGACTCCCGGCACAGCAGGGCCAGGGGTCAGACAGTATCCTGAGGCTCTGTGCTCCTGTGCCGGCTTTGTCTCACATACCCTGCTCCACACAAGTGCTCCCACCCACCCCAGATGTAGCTCCTTCTGCTTCCTCCGAGCCTGAGAAAAAAGGAGCGTCCGCAAAAATGGATTCCACAAAAATTCCACGGCTGAACCCATTGCTGTGTCCAGGGAACGAAGCACACAGCGGGATGGTCTTCCATCAGCTTCCATGAGGGCAAGGAGGGGAGAGAGCAGTTCTGGAGAAAGAAAAGGTAGGCTGTTGTTGCCAGCAGAGAGAAAGGCTGCCAAGCAAGGGCAGGAAGAAGGACGAGCCAGGCAGGGCAGCAGAGAAAACTGTGGGGCAGGCATGAGCGGTGGGCTCCGGGCTCCATCCTGGGACGCTGAGTGTTTGTCCGCAGGAAATATTTGGAGTCAGGATGGTGGAGTGGAGGACAAGCAGGGAGCTTCTGACCAAATAAGGAAAGGTACTTTCTCCAAGCTCCTCAAAAATAGGAAAGTAAGGCCAATCTAACAGAACCAGAGAAAAGACAGGCTCCTTTCCCATCTCACAGGGAGGGACCTGGGCTGACCAGGGTGGAGTTTACATAACTGTGAGCAACACGGTCTTCCACAGGGTTCTTGACATGGCCTTTATCCTGCTCTAGTCTCTCTGTTCCTAGGTGACGAGAGATGACACTTCCTCAGACGGGCTGATTCTTAAGGTTAATTGAAAGTGGCCTTTCTCATGAATCACCCATTGCACTGAATTATTAATCACCTGCAGGCATTTGCAGGCCTTTAAAACACTTGGACTTCCTGCAGCCCTTCTCAGGAATGCTTTTGCCAGTTGAAATATGACTTCCTTTTGGCCACAGAGAAGAGAAACCCTGTCTGCTGCTCTTTCCAGTGTTCCCAGCTCCCAAAGACCCGGAGAGGAACAAGATCTGAAAACAGGAAGCTGGGCCAGGGCTGCAGCTCGACCTGGAAGCTGCTGTCATGTGAACAGGCTCCAGCTCAGCCGGGCTCAGGGCCCCTGCGAGGCCATGGACAGAGGGAGTCCGGGGGCTGGGTCTAGCTCCCCCACTTAACTGGGTGGTCCATGGAACTTCTTTGATTTGGTTTCCTCATGAGAAGGAGCAGACCCAACTCTGCAGGGCTGACACAAGGTAGGGTTCAACAGGTCATGCACACTGAGCCAGCATCATGGTGCCCAAAACATAAGGAGGAACAAGAAAGGTGAACTCACACCCCCCAACACCTGCTTTCATCTTCCAGTGGAGCAAAAAAGACTGAAAATTCAGGGGGCTGGCTGCATGGGTAAGGTGGTCGCAGGCTGAGCTAGCAACATGACAGCAAGACCCCGCAGCCAGGCTCCAGGGCAAGGTCAAGAGCTCCTGGCGGGCCCCAGAGTGTGGGCCTGGGATGTGTGTGATGTACGGACGACACTGGCAGAAGCCAGGGGGCAGCTCATCCTCAGGGTGCAAGCCTTTCTTCCACCATTCAGCACAGCCTCAGCCCCAGAGGCTGATGTTGGGATGCTGAGTTGAGAAAGACATGGCTCCCTGCCTTCATGAAGTCCTGGTCTGCTAGGGAGAGTCAGGTGGGGTGATGGTCACAGGCACTGAGCGCTGCAGACAGATGGAGGTGGGGGAGCATCTGGGTGGCTGAGAATGGGGAGGAGATCCTGGAAGACATAGGGTTGAATTAGATTCAGACAGGAATTGGATGCTGTGCTCCGGGTTGATTATGGCAGAGACCTGGCAGGAGTGTTTGGTGGTGATGGAGTTGGACAGAGGAGGAAGAGCTGGCAGAAGCAGGCCATGCTTGGATGTGGATGGTGAGGAAAGGAGACCAGGAAACGGGTCTTGGAGGCCTTGGAAGGCAGAGCATGGGGCTGGGGGAGGATGGGCAGCTCTGGACCTGACACCTCCAGACTGGCCACAAAGCATTCCCTCTTCCAGAAGCACCCACTCACGCAGCTTGGGGCCAGTCACGGAGATGGCTCCAACGATGTCCATGTACTAATGCTTGGGACCTGGGAATGGGTTACCTGACATGGCAAAGGGAACCTTGCAGAAGTGATTAAAGTAAAGATCTTGAGATGGGACAATTACCCTGGATTTTCTGGGCAGGCCCCACCTAATCACCTTATAAGAGGGAGGCAGATCTACTTAGATGTGACAATGACAAGGATTGGGATGCCTGGGTAGCTCAGTCAGTTGGGGGTCCAGCTCTTGATTTCAGCTCAGCTCATGATCTCAGAGTTGTGAGATTGAGCCCTGCATCAGGCTCTGTGCTCAGCAGGGAGTCTGCTTAAGATTCTTTCTCTCCCTCTGCCCCTCCCCGTGCTCATGCTCGCTCGCTCTCTCTCTCTCTCTCTCTCAAAATAAATAATAAAAAATAACAAATATGATAAAGATTCAGAGAGATTAGAAAATGCTGCTACCCCTTTGAAGACAAAGGAAGGGGCCACTTACAAGCAGCTTCTAGAAGCCAGGAAAAGATGGGAAATGGATTTTCTCCCCAGTCTCCAGAACGAAGGCAGCCCTGCAGACCTCTTTCAGTCCTCTGACTTCAGGCTGCAAGACAGTACATTGTTTTTAACTAACAGAAAACTGACATGCAACTAGACCTGAGGAGAAAGATGAGGAGGCTTTGAGGGGGACCCAGACCCCACTTACCGAGATGTCATCAGCATCACCAGCTGGGCAGAAGCAAAGGTCAGAGCCCCAGGTTCTCCAGACACCAACATGATTTGCAGGAGGGGAAAAGTGGGGAAAGGAAATGCCCTGCCTCCACCAGGCTCCTAGCAGTCTTCGGGGATAGAGAGCAGAGATAGGCCCTACTTGGTAGAGATGCAAGGACCCCCTTCTCACCTGACCACGGGAAGAAAGTAACCGCCCCACCTCCCACCCCTGGGAAAGGAGGGGGACCCCAGTTCACCACCCATCGTGCCTCAAGTCAACCAGTGCTGGGGGCAGGACGAGCTGCACACTGACAGCCTGGAGGAGCCCCGCCCCCAACCCCGTCTAGTCTACTCAGCCTCCTCCCTACCATGTGATAGGCACAGGTGCCAGGCAGGAGCGGGGCCCAGACTCGCTCTTTGGACATGACCTTCAAGGCTGTACTACAAGACCGACCCTCCCTCCCCACACACATACATTTCTTTTGGTTGCCAACTACAGATGCCGCCTCGAGGTTTCAGATGCTCCCCCCCACCCCCCTACCCCTAGCCCCCGCTCCCCGCCCCAGAGCGCTCTGCAGGGACGGCTGCGCGTGGCCCAAGAAGGTGCGTGTGGATGGGGCGCAAGACGGGTGAGAGCGGGCAGGGGAACTGCAGGGCCTTTCCTCCAGCCTCCCGCGAAGGCTGCGTTCAGTAGTCTCGACTGCACTGCCCCTGCGCTCTGATAATAATCACTACAATAGTGAGGGTTTCGGGTGTCCAGGGGACCCAGCTGATTCCACCCTGAGCCACAAAATCACCACAGTAGTGGGTGGCAGGCTCTGTGCACCCCCAACCGCACACCCTCAGGCTAAGTCACCATTCTAAGCCGTATCCATTACATACTTCCATCCAGAGGGAGTACTATTGCTAACCCAACTGAGGACAGAGAGCCCAGGGTACTGAAGGAAATTGTCCCAAGTGGCACAGCTGGTGGGTGGGGAGCGGAGTCGGAACCCAGAGTTGTTGTCGGAGGGCCTGCTGCAGAACCAGGGCTCTCCAAAGCCTCGTTATTTTGTGTGCTGCGACGGTGGACGAGTGAACTTCAGCGCCGCACCGGGAGCTACGGGGACCCGGAGCGGACAGTCAGCCCTGGGAGCTGGGCAGGCCCCAGGAACTCGGATGGGCGCCGAGCCAGAGCGGGTGTGTGGGGGGACACAGCCTCACGCTGCAGGGGGGGCGCGGAAGGTGGAGGCGCACTCCTAGACCTGCAAGTGTCTTGCCCAGGCAGCCAGGCGTGAAGGTTCGGGTGCTGAGCCCTCCATCAGACGCGGCGGCTAAGGCCGTAGCCGGGGGCCCTCTCACCCCACCCTCCCGGAGCCGGGGGCCCTCGCACCCCACCCCACCCGAGCTGCGGGGAGCCCCGGGCGTCCCGTGCCGCCCAGCCCGGAGCCCTGCAGTTTCCCAGCACGCACCAGGGGCTCCGCTCTGGGGCGGCGAGCGGGGCCTGGCCGGGGCGGAGCTGCGGCGTCCGGGGGCTGGCTCCCAGACCCGCGGTCTGTAGCCAGGGCCGGGCGAGACCAGGGACCGCCCCCGCGCCCTCCCGACGGCCCCCGCCGGGCCTTAAGAGCCTGCCCCGCGGCGGCTGGAGGCGCGGAGATACGTGCGCCCCAGCCCCGACAGCCGGCCCGAGCAGTCCCATGGCGGGTAAGTGCCCCTCGCCGCACCCTCGCGCCCAGCGCGGCGTCCGGGCCCCCCGCCCAACCCCCGCCGTGGCCGCACTTTGCCTCTCCCCGCCTGCCCCGCCGGGGCGCAGCCCGCACCCTGCCCGTGGCTCCTAGCGCGGGGTGAGGGTGAAGTGGAGAGGGAGACTCTCCTCCCAGACAGTTGCGGGGCAGAAAGTGTGGGGATCTCGCCTTCTCACCAGTCCCCTCGCTCCAGACCCTAGAGCCCGCCAGAAGCCCCTTGTCCGCACGTGACCCTAAGCAGGCACCTTCTTTGCTCTTTGAGGGCAGCCGGCGCCAGGGAACGAGCGTCCTGGTGCCCTCGGCCGGCGCTGAACGCGAGTGGATCCAGCCAGGCCCCCTCAAATGATGGGGTACAGGCAGTCAACTGTCCTTGTGTCTCTGTTTCTCGAACCTACTGCGCCTTTCCTCATCGACACTCCTTTCCGTTGTCTTCAACTGATTCCCCTAAGTGGCTTCATCTTGATAGAGGGTTGAGGAAGGGATTGGGTTTTAGAGAAAGTTACAGAATTCAAACACTAGCCCAGTCTCTCAGCAGGCTCCAGGACCAAAAAGGATAGGGATGCAAACCAGGACATCATCCCTTCCTGGGCTTCCCTTAAGTACAGAATGACCACACTCGGGCTTACCCTCAAGCCTGAACAGGAACCCTGGAAAGATAAAGGTTCTGGTGAAAGCAGATGGAATGTCTCGTCAGGAGCATGAGAAAATGGTTCATTTCAGCCAGAATCTCAAGCCGAAGTCCTGCTGCTTTCCAAAGGAACAGGAAGCCTGCTTCTGTGTCAGTCCTGGGGTCCAACCCAGGGGGTTGGGGTTGCTGCCCACATTCTGCCCCCCTGCAGGCCAGCGGTGGGAGGGGGAGTGCCTTTCCCCTGGCATCACAATCCGGATGGTTTCTGCCCCCAGAGCAGATGGCCCTGGTAATTGGGGGCCTCGCTGGGGGGCTGCTGCTGCTACTGTTGCTGATCTGGGTGAGCTGCTGTCTCTGGAAGAAACTTCGGGCCGTGTCCACCTATGAGGAGCTGCCGGGGAGCACCGCTGCCTCCAGCATACAGGGGGGCAAGCTCTACCCCCCACCTGCCAGAACCCAGACAAGCAGGTGAGGCAGGATGTGGAGTTTCCCTTGGTGGGGGGTAGGGAGGAAAGTCTATTTTGTGGGGCTCCTCCTCTATGCCGTTACCATGCTACAAAGCAACCCCAGAATCATCACTACAAGCTCTGGGACAGGCATTGTGAGGCTCATTTTCCAGATAAGAAAACAGACCCAGAGGACAGAAAGCAGGCCTAGTAAGTGCCAGAACAGGCATTCGAGTCCGGGCAGAATGATTCCGGAAGCAGTGCTCCTTCAGCAAGTCTCCACTGGCTGCACACAGGCAGAGCTCTTAGCTTTGGTGGCGGGATGGTGGGGGGATGTGGACCCAGAAAATGGTGTTCTTGCCTCCTCCTGGCTCCTGCTGTCTTTTCTTCCCCCAGCCTCCGGCCCTCAACCTCTATGGGCTGAGCGCAAGGAGGCCACAACATTCACTTGCCACCAATATGTATGTCATCTCCCCACCTCGGAACAGGCCTCCAGCTGTGCCGTTCGTGGTGCCTCCTTCCCTTCAAGACCGAGACTGGGTACCCCTACACCGTGGAGAGTGGGCCCAGGCCCCACAGGACCTCTGCCTCTCCTCAGAGCTCCTGCCCCGCCCCTCCAGTGGCAGCTTTGGTGAGTGCTGGGGTCAGGGTCTGTTCAGGCCAGGGTGGGCCCATTTGCTTTCATGGGCCTGGTTCTGGAAAACCGCCTGGACCAGCAGCCCTCCGGTAGTGCCCTCAGTGACCAGGTCCGCTTATTCTGGGGGCAGAGACCACCAGGACTGTGATGCATGGGGAAAGCCCACACCACTGGCCTCCTGGGGGCAGAATTTAGGCAGCAAGCCCACCCACCTAGGCTGGACCACAGGAGTGAAGCAGAAGCAAGGTGGCTGCTGGCTGGGCTCCGCTGGTCTCAGCAGTAATGCCATCTCCCTTGCAATCCTAGTGCTCTGGGCAGAGTTTTCTGGTTTTCCTTGAAAAGAGTTGCCCAGTGACCGCTCTTTCCAGGTACTTGGGTTTACCGAACACCTGCTGCACCCCCAGCTTGTGCCAGATCTGGCCTCAGGTGCCGTTGTGGCCTTAGACCTCACCCCATGCCTCTGTGGGGCAAGACATCCTCGCCCCGTCTTACACATTCATAAACAGAGGTTCAGAAGGTTAAGCGTGCCCTGCTCAGGGTCACGGAGGCAGTAAGCAACAGGTCTGGGATTAGAACCCAGAGCACTCAATGAGTTCTGTACTAGGCTGATAGGTTGGGTGATCCAGAGGGCAGAGTGGTAGGAGCCAGGCACACGGCTTTCTGCCTACCCCTTTGCTCTGAAGACCTCCCAAGATACCTTCCCAGGAACCAGAAGGGATCAGCTAGGCCCCTCTAATTTGAAGACGAAGAAAAGAGGCAAGAATTCATCACTGAGACATCCTGTGGACCCCATGGACAGGAGCCAGGCCAAGAGCTGGGCACTGGGTCCCCCCCACCAAGCAGGCCCTGACCTAGGGGCTGGGGTTAAATGGAGTTAAATGGGCACTCTTCTGGGGGCCTCAGAGGGGAGCAGGCCTGGATATGCCATGCCTTAGTGCTGGAAGGCTTCCTGGAGGAGTAGTCCTAGAGAGAGGGGCTGTGTTCAGTCTAGAGAAGGGTGTGGGGCGGATGTGGTAAGGAGAGGCCAGTGAACTGTCTCCTGGAGGCTCAGGCAAGAAGAGATGGGCTGGGGCAGGGGCGATGAAGCCCAGAGCTTGCTATCCGCCCCCTACCCCTGTCCCTGCCTTCCTCGGGACTGGCAGACCACCCCGCCCCTGTGTTATAGGAAATACAGGCACGGTGGGGACCATCAACCCAGATCTATATACGTTCCTGGAGGACAAGAGTGAGACCGACTTCCCTGAGGGCTGCCTGGGACGGCTGTGGTTCTCCGTGGAATATCAGCAGGACGCCGAGCGGCTGCTGGTGGGCTTGATCAAGGCGCGGAGGCTGCAAGCCCCCTCGGAGAGCTGCAACCCCCTCGTGAAGCTGCACCTGCTGCCCGACGAGCGGCGCTTCCTCCAGTCCAAGACCAAACGCAAGACCTCCAGCCCGCAGTTTGATGAGCACTTCATCTTCCAGGTACGACCCCTGCAGCATACAGGGTCTGGCCTCCGGGGAAGGAGCAGACAGGGTCCAGGTGACCCCAGCCTCCTGTGACAGCCAGGGCCCTGAAGGCCTCCCAGGCCCCTGCTGCCACCAGGTCTACTTTACCTGCTGGACAGGTCAGGGCCTGCAAGAGCTCAGAGCCCTATTTGGGGGAGGGGGTGGAGGGCGAGCGAGGGAGGTGAGGGGTAAAGGGCTGGGCTCCCTGTATCAGGGGTGCCTGGAGGAGAGGAAGAGAAAACACATCCTTGGAGTACCTACTGGATGCCAGGCTCCGGCCCACGAGGCTCTGGAGAAGCAGTCCAAAGCCCTGGAGCCTTAGGGGGTTTCTGGCAAGGTTATCCAAGAAAGGCAGAGGGTGAGACCCCCACGGTCCTTAGAGCAGGGGCAGGAACTCGCCTAGTGTGTCAGAGGCCAGTGCAGGGCCCAAGAGCCATCATGCAGCCCGTGCCGCGTTGGCTGCCCTGAGGACAGGCCGGCTCAGGGTCTGCAGGTGCAGAGGCTGTCGGGGCACTGAGCCAAGCCCACAGGGGCCTGGGAGTCTGAGCAGGTGACTGGGGGCCCTGATGGGAAATCAGGCATGAAGAGCTGCCTTGAGGCCTTGGACAAACATTTTCAAGAGCCAGGCAGTAGGCTGGCGGGCAAGGTGAGGAGAGGCCGTTCAGCATCCGGGAAGAGGGTGATTGCTGAGGTCAGAGCCTGAATTCTTGCCTTCTTCTGGGCCCGAGAGCTGGAGCTGTACGGAGAGCTGGCATGGGGCCCAGATCCCACCTGTTTTGCTGGGGGTCAAGGCTGCGGGTGTTCACAGGTGACCTTGTTCTCCTCAGAACGTAAAAAGCCAAAACATGGAGCCGTGCTGCCCAGCATGGCCGCACGGCATGTTCACAAACTTGTTTCTGTTTGCCCATCGCTTCCCTGCCCGGTCCCCACCCCAACTTGATCCCGGCCTCTCTGTTCTTTGAGGGGGAAGGGGAAGGAGACGAGGAAGAGAAGAAAATCTGTATTAACTGAGCATCTGCCACAGGGCTGACACTGTGATTGGGGTTTTACGACTCAGAGAGTAGGAACTGTTACAGGTGAGGAGACTGAGTCTCGGAGAGAGGTCTGGGGTGCCTGTGCTCTCGGAGAGAGATGGGGTGCCATCTCTCTGATGGCAGAGACAGGCAGGTTCCTTGGGCTCCGGTGGGGGACTTCTCACATTTTTATGTGCAGGCAGATCACTTGGAGGTCCTGTTAAATGGTGGATTTCCTTCATGGGCCTGAGATGGGGCCTCATGTCCTGTATTTCTAATAAGGTCCAGGGGAGGGGTAGACACTGCTGGTCCTTGAACTCACTCTGCAGGGCAAGGCTCTGGCACACGTTCCCACTGCCACTGGCCCCCGGGGGATGGGTCCCCACTACTGGAACGGTCCCCTGACGATGTCTGGGTTTGGGGAGTGCAGGTCTCTGGCTGAACCACCTCTCACCACAATCTCCTGTGTCAAGAACAGTGTACCACACCCTCCCATCCTGTTTCCACACCTGACCCCAGCCCAGACCCTCATCTCTCCAGGTGTCCAGCAAGAACATCACTCAAAGGGTACTCAGGTTCTCCGTGTACCACGTGGACAGGCAGAGGAAGCACCAGCTCCTGGGCCAGGTGTTCTTCCCCCTGAGAAATGAGCCCCTGTCTGGTGACTGCCCGCACGTCATCTGGAGAGACCTGGAGGCTGAGAGTGGAGAGGTAAAGGTCAAGGTCACCAAGCATGTACATTTGTGTGTCAGACTCCCAGGGGCAGCCAGCAGTGTGGCCCAGCGCCTACTGGCCAGCATCAGCCCAAGCAAGTGTGACTTGGGGTTATGAACCTGGGCTGGAGCGGCCCGGGACCAGGGGACAGGGCAGAGCTGCTCCTGGTCAAGGAAAGGTGGCCTGAGGTTTTTTTGCCCTGGAGACCAGATTACCTGGATCAACTTGATTCCCTTCCAGATCAGACACCTGTGAAAGGTGATACCCCAAAAGGACCAGGCTTGCCCTCTCTTCTCCTGACCCCTGAGAAGATCCAGGCAGCTTGAAAAAGGCTTTGGAATCCCCTAGACCTGGGTTTGAACCCTCAGCTCTGACACTCACTACTGTGTGATCTTCAGCAAGCCCTTTCCACTGTCCAGACCTCAGTTTCCCCATCCGTAAAATGCCGGTGGGCTGAAAGGAGACACCATGGGTGATAACCCAGGAGCAGAGCCTGACTGCTGGGAGGAGGCCAGATACCGCGGCCTCTCCAGCACCTGCTGAGTGACAGGGATGCTTTCCTCCTGGCCTCTCCAGCCTCCCTCCGAGTTTGGAGACCTGCAGTTCTGTCTCAGCTACAATGACTGCCTGTGTCGCCTGACTGTGGTCGTGCTGCGAGCCAAGGGCCTCCGGCTCCAGGAGGACACGAGTTTCGTCAGTAAGTTTTCCTTTGCAGGGCAGGCCCTGTCCAGTGAGCCTGTGGCCTGGGCTGGAGTCTGACTCCTTCCTCTGGCCCTTCAGTTTCTGCCTGCCTGTGGCCCACCACGGAGTGCTCACTACCCTCTGTGGACGGCTATGATGTGGGAAGCCACTTCCTTCTATTGAACCCAAGACTATATCCCCTTGGCCTCCACCAAGACCCCTAACACCCCCCAAGACCAAGTCCTCCCCTCCCCTTTCCCAAGGCAGCATCTTGGCTCCGTAAAGGTTCTGTCCCTCCTCCTCCACCTCTGCCCTTCGTGAAGGATTCCAGTTTCTCTGGGGCCGGATCCCTTGCCCCATTGCCCCCGGGTGGACTCCCTGTACACCAGGCAGGACACTGGGCAGAAAGAAGACGCTTCCCAGGCTGACAGGGAGTGCAGTGCTCTGCTTCCTCTGGCCGCCCAGAACCCAGCAGCTGGAGGAGTGGAGTCCCTGCTCTGGCTCACCGAAATGTCCTGCCCTTATGCGCCCCCAACACCCGGCCCCCGGCCCCGCAAGCAGAGTGGTAGCTGTCCGACCCCTGTGTGTCTCCACATCTGGGTCACCATAAGCAAGTTGTCATTCAACCTTCCACCGTGGATCCAAAATTCATCTGAGCCCCACCCCCAAAACCTTGACCCTCTGAAGAAGAAGGTGCTTGAGGAGCTCCAGGGAGCCTGAGCACTCAGCAGGCTGGGCCCCCTCTCCACCAACGGGAGAGATGGGCGTATGGTGTCAGGCTCTGGGAAGCAAGGGCCAGTGGAGCCATGATGCACTCGGGAGGCACAGAGGAAGGAAATGGAAGGGAGCCAAGCGTTTCCTCGGGTGTAAGCCCGTACACTAATCGTCCCTGTTTCCTCTTGTAATTGATGCCCTCTGGCTGCAGCAGAAGGGGCCTGGTGCCCAAGGTGGGCGTGTGGCCTCCCAGCCAGACCTCCCACAGGCCAGAGGCTGGACCCTGCCCGCCCCCTCCCAGCCCAGCCCACTATCTGCACTGCCCTTTAGGTGTGTTTGTCAAAGTGTCTCTGATGAACCACAACAAGTTTGTCAAGTGCAAGAAGACTTCAGCGGTGCTGGGCTCAGCCAACCCCGTGTACAGCGAGACTTTCAGCTTCAAGGCCAACCCTGCGGAGCTGGACACTGCCAGCCTCAGCCTGACCGTGCTGCAGAGCACCAGAGGGGAGAGTAAGGCTGCTCCCCCAACCCCCCAGGCTTTTTGGGACATGGGCACAGGAGGAGCGTTCAGGCAGTAGGACCCGTAGAGAGAGGTTTCTGTTCTCTGCCTAGGGCAACTAGAACTCAGAGAGGCTGAGATACATGCCCAAGGACACAAAGCTTGTGAGCAGGAGAGCCGGGATTCACGCCCAGCTTTGCTCAGTTTGACTCTCCGTGGCAACGTACAGAGAGGTCAAAGGGCGGCCTCTGCTGGCTCTCCACTTGCGCTCCCTTCTCCCCCATCTTCAGTTCCAGAGCAAAGCCAGGACCCTTTGGGGGCTGCCTGCTCCTGCTTCAAGAGGGAGGGGCTAGCTCCGTCCTCTGAAAGGAGGAGTGAGACAGGGAAAGAGAAGGCACTGAGGGTATTGCCCAAGTGGGGCAGCTTCTGTGCTCTGGAGAATGATGGCGTTTTTCCCTCCCCTACAGACAGCCACCAGCTGGGCCGGGTGGTGGTGGGCCCCTACATGTACGCCCGAGGCAGACAGCTGGAGCACTGGAACGCGATGCTCAGCAAGCCCAAGGAGCTGGTGAAGCGCTGGCACGCGCTCTGTCCCACCCCTGAGCCCTGATTCGGCTCAGGACCTCCGCTCTGCCTCCGGAGCCTGCCCTCCCCCGTGGCAGCCACGGGCCTGGACGGTCGGGCCAGCATCTCCTTGGGCTGCCAGGCCGGCCTGAGTGAGGGCAGCATGCGTGCTGAGAGGCAGGAGCGAAGGGGGACCAGAGAGCTCCAGCCAGGTCAGCAGCATGGCTGGCCACCACCTGCCAGCCTCAGAGATCCTCCCATCTCCCTCCATCCTCCTCTCCCCGAGCTGCTGCCTGGGCTGCAAGTCCCAAGCTGTGGTCAGCACAGTCCCCATCTGGACTGGGATCTCAGGCCTTCAGAAGAACTGTTCTATTCAGTGATAGCAGAGCTGTGTGTGCTGAGCGGAGACCCGGGCTCTACCATCCTGGAAAGCTGACGGTAGGTCAGTGCTGGATGGGCACACCGTCTCAGCTGTGGTTTTCCTGCCTCTTGCCAAGCAGAGAAAACAAACTGCTCTGGGGGAATCGTGGGGGGTGGGGGTGCCCAAAGCGCTGATTCCAGCTGGCCCACAATAAAGAGCCCCGTCTGAAAGTTGGGGTGGGCGTCAGGCACATTGGAATGGAATAGCCCCCAGATGCCTGCGCAGCACAGCGTGCCTGCAGCTCGGGAGAGAAAGCTCTCAGGGATCGAGACTCGCCGGCTTCAGCCTGGGGAAGAACACTGTCCACCAAGTGGACATACGCTCCCTGTGCTAGGAGGAGGCCCTCACCTGTATTGGGTCCCTTCCAGGGCCATGTCACAACCTGCCCATGGCCCGTCCTCCCCAGAACCCAAGCCTCACGCCCCTGGTCTTCCAACTGGCTATCCTACGGGTTTCTGTGGTCTCCCTGGTTGACAGCGTTCAGCTCGCACAACTCACTTTGGGCAAGAAATAGTGAAAGCACGCAGCCAAAGCGCAGCCCCCAGGGCCGAGAGCTTTCCCTGTAAACCCAGCGATTTCTTTAGGATGACTGTGTTGTGACAGGTGCCCACATGAGGCTCATCGAGTTGAGAGTCCCCACAAATCCCGGTCATCACCTCCCCGTGACGCTGTCCTCAGGGTAATGAGCCGTTACTGTGTTTATCACTGTTACTGAACGGGTAGCTTGTATTTCCCCGCCCCCATGCTTTTGAACTTGCGGGGTCAATGCACTGTGACTATATACCTGGAACAAACTTCAAACCCGTCTCTTTTCTTACGCGATGAACAACTTCAGCAAAAGAAAGTAGTGAGCATTATACTTGGTCTGTGCCTCTTCGATCTCACTCCCGATCTCTGTCCATGCACAAAGACAAGCTTTACCTGGCAGTGGTCCGTACAGACAGAATTTCACACACTTATTTCACACACACATTCCAACAAAGCCCACACTCCAGTCATTGCTAATAGCATCAGAGCACACACATTCTCTCTGTGTGTCTAGCAGGCTACTAACCTAGAATGGTTTCCATTTCACCCGGCGTCCCGAGACAAGAGGTGCCAGCCACCCCCACATTTCAAGGTGACATTCATGCCTACTAGGTGGCCTTTCCAGGGCCACTTGGAAAAGCTGGTAAGTATCCCTTGGCAGGACAGAGTGGACTAGTATGTCTGACTCACAGCTGAAAAATCTCAATGGCAAGAGACTGACAGTTCTCTGCTCCAACAGAGAGGAGGAATGGGTTGCTGTATGGGGCTGAAATGTCTACAGACATGGTAAGAGCAAAAAATACACAAGTGCTAAAGTAGGTTCACAGACGTCTAAAACCCAGACTGCTGCACGAGCAAAGAGCTCTCCCTCGCCCAGAGAGAAAATAACTCACTCCCAACAGTTTCCATTCACCTCCCAGTAGCCAGAGTCAAAATACGAATATGACCATGTCATTTCACAGCTTAAAATTCTTTAAGAACTCCCAAATTCTCTTGAGATGAAGACTGAAATCCTTAATAGATCATTAAGATCTATTATATTAAGATCACAGGCCGTGAGTCTGGACTGGCCTGCTGCCTGACTCCCCACACCCTGCCCTACGTCCTAGCCCAGGTCCCAGCTGCAGTGCCCCTCGCTTGGTTCCCTGAGCTTGCCAAGCTCCTCGCTGGCCAGCACCGGTGACAAATCTGTCCATTCCCCGGAAGAGCGGTCATCAGACAGCCTTTAAATATTTGTTTGCCGCGGACCCAGTGAGAGTGCAGTGAACCTAATTTTCTAGTGATTAAAAATGGTTTACAGGAACAGATTTAATATACACTTTACCTGGGAGAAGCAAAATCAGTATTTTGAAAAAATTGGAGCATGTTCATTTGTTCTGTAGTTGTTGTTTTCTCCCCCCCGCCCCCGGCTTTCTTCTGTCAGTTATGAAACAAGATGATTTCCCAGGTGGGGTCTTATGTTTCAATCCCAGAGACCATCACCTGCTCTGCACCAGGCACGATGTACTTTTGGAGCCCTCCAGATGCCCTCAACTGCTGATTTCAGATAGAGTTGTGCCTGTGCCAGTGCACACCAAGGACACACGAGAGAAATAAACCAGTGAGGGTCTGGTTTCATTTTGACTCAGCAATCCTCTCAGCTTCAGGGAGGGAAGGAGCCCATGGAGCAAGCTCAGACGGCAAGCGTGGGCAACACTCGGGCCCCACCGGAGTTTGGGGCTGGGATGGGCTGTGCAGCTGGTCTACCCTATAATCTGGCCCTGGCTTTACCAGGATGATGTTTTTCCACCTCAACTCCTGGATAATTTCTTGGTTTGCAGTTCTAGGTCTAACTATCACCATCTCCAAGAGAATGTGGCTGGCCGGGAAGACCGGGTCAGATCATGGAGTGACTGTAGCTCGCGGGTTCTGCAGTATTTTTATGTTCCCACATCTCTGAGATCAGATGTGGCTTTCTCACTGTGGGGTTTCCCGCCTCCAAAGTCAGCTCAGGTGGGCATCCTGACACGTCAAGCCCGCACATGTGCGCACATGGGGGTGAGCCCCCGCCACGTGACTGCACCAGCGAAGCCCCTTGCCTTTGCCGACAAACCACCGAAGGACCATTTGAGGAAAGAATACGAGGCTTAGTTGATGTCTGAAAAGCTTCTGTTTACACTTCTGTGTAAGCCCAAGAAAGCGCTGGCGCCTGAACTCTGAGAATCAGGTCAGCTGCTGGGGAGACCACGGCAGGCAACGGCAAAGCACTCTTCGAAGACGTGCCCTTCCTTACCCTTCTGATGGCCCAAGAGGGACACAACATTCTGATGTTGCTCAGGCAACAAGCGAGCCCCAGAGCCCAACTCCCAGTCTGAAGCAGCTATAGGAATGCCGTATGTAATTTATATTTTCCTTTTTATGGCTGCGTAAGAGTCATGTGTGATTTTAAAAATCTTGAGAAGAAGTCCAAAATGAGCCTTATCCGTAAAGTGTAAAACAAAATGAGTTGAAAGCATGGAGCTTTCATTTCTCAGAAACAAGCAAGTTTAAGGCCATAATTCCATTATCAGTCTTTCATCTTTCTTAGCAGTGGACAAAACTGTCATGCGACCTAGAAGCAAGCAAGTTTTAGGAAACAAGGTGTATGTGTGTGTAGTTGCCTGACATTTTCATTCATTCCGTTTATTACAGCTGTAGTTCTGTCACAGTGATTAACATGTATCTCCCCAACGTGTGTCCAGTACCAACGGAAGCCTGGAATAGCGCACACTTTCATTCAGTATTTTAGAGTGAATCAACCATGCTTAGCTTTTGGTTCCTGGATGTACGAATATCACCAGGGATCTTCTGTCCACTCCCTGATTTCCAGGGCTGGACAGCTGCAGGCTGAGTCTGAGTTGCAAATGCAGGCTGCCCTTCGCTGTACAGTCTTCCTAAAAAATTTTCAATGAAACGGAACGCCTCTAGGTGGGGCATGTGGTCTCCAATTCACAGTCTCTATCACTTTCATCCTGTTACATCGACATCATCCACCTGCCCTTGAGGGCTTTGGAGCTCGTGATGCATCTCCTGTGCTTTATCTTATTCCCCACACAATAATCACATCTTTTATATGGTCAGAGGGATCGTTACCGATTTGTGGGGAAAAGCCCCAACCCACGCCACAAGCGTACCCATGAAAACACTTGCTGTTGGAAGAATTTTACATTGTCCCACTCCGCAGGTGGTCCAATTTTTGCACAAATACTTCATCAGTGGTCCTTCTCACTTGGGCCTACAGCATGCCTGCGCTGTGCTGTCTCCCGTCCACAGGTGGCAGTGGTCCTTCACTCTTGCAGAAGTCCCAAATGCCACCCTGGCTTTGGAGCTCTGAAATCCTGGCCCTTGGGAAAGGATACCTGCAGGGTTCCAAGGTAGTGTACCTGCCTTTATCACTGCACCTCCTAGACGCTGGTGCCCATGTGCAGTATTTACACAAGGAAAGAACTCAGCCCCTTATGGGTCACAAGATGTGTTTACCCTGAAAAGTCAATGTCAGTTTGCAGGGGAGAAGGTATTCTTCCCTGTGGTTTAAACCAAGTAAATTTTCCAGTCTTGCTCCTCAAATGAGAAAGCAGGACAGGAAGAGGTGGTTGGTTTTTGTTTTGTTCTTTTTGGGGGGGCGGGGGTTGTGTTTTTTTTACTATTACCCTAGTGTATTAGTATATCTCTAAGTTGACTTATCAGTATAATGAATTGTAAAAGTTAAGACATTTTAGAAAATACTAAACTATTAAACTATTTAATATTAAAAAAAAAAAAATACACAAGTGCTTCCAATGGACCAGAGGGAGCTGGCCTGGGTTGTCTCAGTCCTCTTCTACCAGGTGATCCCTGCATTTCTACTTTATAAGCTCTCTGTCTTTCCACTTTGCAAGTCCTTTGAACTTCCACAAAGTATTTAAGGATCGGCTTGTCAATTGCCACACCAAAAAAGCGTTTGAGTTTGACTGGATTTTGATGGAGTTCATAGACCAGTTTGGGAACCATTTTCTATCCCTACAATATTGAAACTTGCATCCATTAACATGGTATGTCCCTCCGTTTCCTTTGGCCGATCTCTCCTTACCTAAGTTTTTAATGGTATTGATATCATTCATTTCAATCCCACATATATCTTACACCCAGCAAGCAATGCTATTATTATTATGTTCAGTCAATTCCCACTTATATTCAGTCACAGTTGTTCTTTCTTTTGCTTTTCATTCTTTCCTGCGTTTCTGGGATTCTGAGATCATGTTCCTCCTACTTGAAGAACTCTTTTTAGTATTTCTTCTAGTGCACAACTGTTCACAGCAAATTTTCTTAGTTTTTGATTAGAAATGTCTATTTCAAGTTCATTTTTAAAGGATTTTGTGGGGGGGATAGAATTCTAGGCTGACATTTTCTGTCAAGAGTTGTAAAATGGTGTTCATTATCTTCTTACTTCCATCATTGCTGTTGACAAGTGAGTTATCATCTTTTGTTTCTCCTTGGAAAGTAATGC